AAAAGACCGCTGATTCAATCCTATTAACAGGAAACGACCCTGACGGATCAAAGAGACACGGAAAGAACACGCAACATCACCAAACCGCAGAAGTCAGTCCTTGTTGTCCATTTGCCAATGTTGTAGTTGATCAAGAGTACTTCTGATCAGAGTCAGTCATTTCTAGAAAGGGAGAACAGTTACGACACAGGACTGAGTCACTCGGCTGTCCTGGAAAAACCCCATCTCATGTTGCAATGGATGACAGGCTGTTTGTCATAATCAATGCTGCTAATACGGTTTCCTCTCACTGCTGATTCACAATGATTGGGTGGGAATGGATGTGTTCATCTTCCCTTTTATTTCCATCTTTCCTTCCATCTGTCGTTCTTTCTTTCTTTTCAGCCATTTCTTCTTGTCCTGGACAACCGAGTTCATCAGAGGTCATTTTTGTGATGTGATAAACGCCACCATGTTTCTCTAAAGCTGTGCTTCACCCACCCTGCTTTAGCAATGCCTGTTCATTGCAAAATAGATTTCATACTGTGAGTGCATAAATATCAGATTTATTTGCATACCATGCAAATATGCAATTCTACAAATACATAATTCCAAGTTGAATGCCAAAAAGAATCAAATGTAGGGCAAGGACAGGTGTTATTTTAGTATCACTGATATTCTATTGTAGTTTTTATTAAAGGGGCCATGAACTGCCTTTTTTGTACTGTTTTCTATAGTCCACTTATAACGTTTTTACATTAAAAAAAAAAACTATTTAGAAGTAATAGGTTATTTTCTGTCCTGTTTTGACCCCCCTCATCAGAACGCTCAGTTTGAATAGGCATGGCTGATTGTAGACTCTGAACTAAACACCCAATGCTATGATTGGCTAACAGTTGTGTATGTTTGACAGCCTACATCCTTCACAGATGGACGCTGCTGTGATTTAGGTTAAAAACACATAAATACTCAGTACATATGAAACAATCTGTAATAACAGACAAAGCAATAGTGACCACGTAATAAAAACAGTTACTCCCAGTTGTGTGGTGCGACATTACTGTCAGATCCAATATAGTCAGCACATCATCGACTTTTAGTTTCAATCTTTCTGAAAAGCCTGTGTCGAATTGTGCCTTGTTTGTAAACGAATCCTTGGTAAAATGAAGTGAACAAAGGACCAAGTTCTTACTGACACGGCACTGTTTCTACACTGGTTTCTGTGTAGACCTGTGTTTGCTTCTCTCTGGTTATTTACACTACATGCGTGAATCAGTGGGCAGGGCTAAACAGGCAGTGATGAAGAATCGGTGGGCGGGGCTAAACAGGCAGTGATGTAGAAGCAGCCATTCTTCTTTTTCTGCGGAGGCAGGGTTTAGCCACACTATTACGTCATAAAGTGGCACATTACACAAGCTGTCGTTTTGGCAGACTGGCTTCAATATAAGCTGTTTTTAGACTAACGAGAACGTTTCGAGTTCTGAAACTTACAGGACATTTTTATAGCACAATGACCTCTTATTTGTCAAAAGATTAAGGGATTTTTGATTTCTCAGCTCATGACCCCTTTAATATTTTGAATTAATTTTCATATTTTCTGTTTTCATTTTAATTTCTTTTAAACGTTTTAGTAATTTTGTAGTGTGTTTTTTGTCTTTTATAGTAGTTTCTTTTATTTAAATATGCCTATATTTTTTTTATTTTTTATAGTTCATTTTAGTTAATAATTTTTTATAAGGTTTGGTTTTTTAGAAATTTTGGCTTGGCAACTAGCTGAAAAGTTTGTATACATATTATTTCAGTTAATGTCTATTTCAAGTAATAAAAAGGTGTTTTTTTTTTGTTTGTTTGTTTGTTTGTTTTTTAGTTAAAGGTAATAACCCTGGCAGTGACTCACCATTGGGTTCTATTGATCACAATGACTGGGGTTAAAAAAATGAAAAAAGAAAAAGAAACATGCGCTGATAAATCGTTCACAATAACATGCATTTAGAAAATAGGGTGAATTTTAATTTTTCTGCCAACTTTAAACCATTTATGATATTTCAGGATAATTTTTGACAGCCATTTACAGGGCCATACATGTTGATGGTTGACACTTGACTGTATTTAGCACAGAGCACTATGTTTCCAGTCATCTGCTGTGTCGAGCATTTTAATTGTGCCTTTCACAGATATGATCTGTTACTGCCAGTCCAGTGGGTCGCAAGGATGTCAGACAGAGTTTGGATCTGTGCCAGACGGGGTGGGTGGTCTCTATCTGCTTTGGTCCTATTAGTCAGTCAGGATCCAAACAGCACCCCCCACAGCTCCGTCTTCCCATAACCCCTCGGCTCCACGACCTGCCTCTGACACACTCAGGATAAACTTCATAGGTGGGGGGCGTGTAGATACAGTTATAGATCTGTCTCTTCTTGAGTGAAAGTGTGTGTGTATGTCTGCCGTAGCCTCAAGGGACAGCGCGCTTCAGAGCTCCACGACCTGCCTCTGACACACTCAGGATAAACTTCATAGGTGGGGGGCGTGTAGATACACAGTTATAGATCTGTCTCTTCTTGAGTGAAAGTGTGTGTGTATGTCTGCCGTAGCCTCAAGGGACAGCGCACTTCAGAGAGAGACGAGCCTCTTTCCTCCAAACACAGGTAGTGCTGCAGTGTTTGAAATACACAGCCCCACACCAAAACACAGACGCACACACAGACTTTAACACATGAAAGACCTCTTGTGGACCAGAGCAAACACAAGGCAGCTTTGATGTGCTCTAGCCTCTTCTATTCCCTTTCCACCCCCTAAAACTGACTGTTGCTTTGCTTTTCCATCTGAAAACCTGATTTCTAACTTTCTCCTTCTGACAGTTTTTAAAAGTGCAGCTGAAGTGTGTTTTTCTTCTGACTGATCAATTTAAGCAGATCATAACTCATTGACTAATGATCACAAATGAGATTAAAATTTTTTTTTTAGAATTAGTATTTTTTATTTAGATTATTAGATTTTTTTGTTAAAATTTTTTATATATCTATATATAAGACCTCTTGTGGACCAGAGCAAACACAAGGCAGCTTTGATGTGCTCTAGCCTCTTCTATTCCCTTTCCACCCCCTAAAACTGACTGTTGCTTTGCTTTTCCATCTGAAAACCTGATTTCTAACTTTCTCCTTCTGACAGTTTTTAAAAGTGCAGCTGAAGTGTTTTTTTCTTCTGACTGATCAATTTAAGCAGATCATAACTCATTGACTAATGATCACAAATGAGATTAAAAATTTTTTTTTAGAATTAGTATTTTTTATTTAGATTATTAGATTTTTTTGTTAACATTTTTTATATATCTATATATACAGTATAGTTAATATATAACTATATAGTTAGCTATGTAAATAGTTATCTGTAATAAATCTGGGTAAATTTTATAATAAACATTTATTATATGTGACCCTGGACCACAAAAGTCGCTGGGGTATATTTGTAGCAATAGCCAAAAATACATTGTATGGGTCAAAATGATTGATTTTTCTTTTATGCCACAAATCATTAGGATATTAAGTAAAGATCATGTTCCATGAAGATATTTTGTACATTTCCTACCGTAAATATATCAAAACTAAATTTTTGATTAGTAGCATGCATTGCTAAGAACTTCATTTGGACAACTTTAAAGGCGATTTTCTCAATATTTTGATTTTTTTGCACCCTCAGTTTCTAGATTTATAGTTGTACAAATGGTTGTATCTCGGCCAAATATTGTCCTATCATAACAAACCATACATCAATGGAAAGCTGATTATATTATAGCTCTATTACTGTATATCAGTATGTCAACTTTTAGTGACAGTGCATTTCTCCAAAAAAAAGAGAGAGATGTTTGAAACAAAGTTGATACTTGTATAAAACATAACTGAAAACTCAGTTAATCTCTTGAGTTATTCAAAAGCAAGCAACTTTGCCAAAAAAAAATAAAAGAATAAAAATAAAGAATGAAAAGAGAAGGACTGGTCATATATAGAAACAAACTCACAGCCCAGTTCAGGACCTTTTGCTTTTTACAGTCAAAATAAACACTTGTCAAATGTGACTAGTGTGATTACAGTAACAGAGGTCTTCTGTTCTGTCAGCACATAGTGTGGAATTACGCTCTGAAACAAAACCACCAGCAAATCCACAGCATCAGAATTCCAGACAAATGAGTCCTGGGACACAAAGGGCTGTTTGGGTGGTTTCTGGCTCAAATGTGCAGACATAGGCATGCGTCTATAATCACATTATGGGGTTAAGTATCAATGCGGCAGAAAGAAAAAAAAAAGACTGATTTTGCACAATGCATTTCACACGTTAATTATATATTTACATGCACGTATAGCAAGTGCTTATGAAATTTATTCCTGGTATCTAAGAATTGTTTATATAGATTTGACTGGAAATGAAATTATTTTATTTCATTTCACGCTTTATATGGCGCTTTATATGCCAACTGATTAATACATCAACATAATGTTCTGTTTTTCACTATTTCAAGGAATAGTTGACCCAAAAATAAAATTTTGCTGAAAATGTAATCACCCTCAGGCCATCCAAGATGTTGATGAGTTTAATTCAACGGAACAGATTAGGAGAAATTTCGCATTGCACTTGCTCAGCAATAGATCCTTTGCAGTGAATGGGTGCCGTCAGAATGAGAGTCCAAACAGCTGATAAAAACATCACAATAATCCACAGGTATTCCACACAACTCCGGTCTGACAGTTAATGTTTTGTGACGTAAAAAGCTGCATGTTTGTATGAAAAAAAATCCATCAAGGCGTTTTAACTTTAAACCATCGCTTCTGCCCAAAATACGAGTCTGTAATAACACTTCCTACAGACCCTTTATCAGCAGTTTTTAATGGCACCCATTCACTGCAGAGAATCCACTGGTGAGCAAGTGATTGAATGCTAAATTTCTCCAAATCTGTTCCGAAGAAGAAACAAACTATTCTTTTAAATGCCATCAAGCAAAAACAAAATGATGTGTCAGAGATTTCGCATACCTCCCATCGAGTCCAAGGCCAGGTGGAGGGCTGACTGCTGTGGTAGGGGCCCGGGTTCAAATTGGTGTTGTAGGAGTAGGAGCAGGAGGAGAACGAGGGCCCCGGGACCCACTGGTTTTGCTGGTTTGCTACATTAGTCGCAGGTTCTGATTGAACACCGGAGAATGACTGGAACATTGCGGATTCCTAAGGCTGCACAGTGAAAACACAACATGAGATAAGCAAGCTATGAAATGTGATATGTCACTGTATCTACACTTATTTATTGACTTTTATTTAGTGTATCATTCAATGCAAGTTTCATTTAAATTTAGCCATTTTCAAAACTTTTGCTTAGATTTGCATCTTGAATAAATCAGTGTGATGTGTAAGTCCGAATCCGTTAAGACGTTCAAAATGAAGTTAAATAAGCCAGTTGACCCTGTCCGTAGGGTTCATTTGAATTCACATTTGAGGGATGTTTTCTTTCAGCCTGTGATCGTATTTTGCAATACGTTTTTGTTTAGACTCATGTCAGCTCTGCATGAGATGACTGAAACAGAGCTGAAGTAATGAGAGCCAGCGTGCTGCATATATAGTCTCTCAGTTCAACTGTCACACTCAATCAGTTATTTTAGTGTAAAAAAAAACAACTTTTGAGCTAATTGGCCGTTTCAGTGTTATCTACTTTAACAGCAGTAGTTTCTCAGCTGAAATTGACAGACGGTATAAAAATTTTGAATCATGTTGCACTGTCATTTACACATTATTGTGATATATTATTGACGGAAATGTTCTTATATTATGTAACTGAATAATTAACATTATATCATACTGTAAGTGTTATTTACAGAATAACATCAATACCAAGTCTAAATGATTGGCTTGGAAAGCATGTTGACATTGTACTGCGTCATAATTTTTTTTATCAATTTATTTTAATTGTTTAAATTTTTTCTTTATTATTAGTTGTTTTGATTGTTTCAGTCTCTGTGTGAATATTTTTGGTCTGTGATTATGTAAAGAGGCTTTGCACAGTGCTGGAAAATGGCAGCAAATAGCCTGTTGTTCTTCAGCGCTGATCCCACACTGGTCCTGAGGAGAGGACATTGTTCCTGAGACCGTGGCATGACCAGCTCTGATGGACGCAGATGCCACTCTGAGATCTCAGACGTAATGGGCTTATGAGAACATGTCTTTTCTGCAGGACAATGTGTGATTTGGGCCGTTTCTCCTGAATGATGAGGGACTAATGAACTTGATGGACACAGGGATGACTGGAGGGAGAATCACAGAGAGCTGGAAGTCTGGGAAAACTAGGTCGCCAAACTAAAGTCCATTCAATAGACTCAACATTTATCAGTCTGTCTATCTGTCTACCCATCTTACTATGTGTAAATTGACGTGTCTGTCTCATATCTATCTGTCTGTTCTTCTGTCTATCTATCTTTCTGTCTATCTGTCTGTCTGTCTGTCTATCTATCTGTAGTCTGTCTGACTATCTTTGTCTCTCTATTTATATGACTATCAGTCTCTCTCATCCTGATGTAGCTACACTTCAAATGATACATTTTAACAGCTGTTCGCTATCCATGTTTGACCACAGTGCTTATGCAAGGAATGATTCTTCCTTACTGTTTGACTCTTCTGCATTCTTTAATTTCAGATATTCGATATTTTACAATATGTAGGTATGATGTAGAGTTATGCAGCTTGAGGATCTCATTCTATCAGTGAGACAGTGACGCCTCACACAATCAGAGAGGCCATGCTGAGAGCCAGACAGCACTGTGAAAGGAAAGAGCTCCATAATGGAGGAGCAGGAGGTTGAGCACAATGTAATTGGCAAGTCTTCCTCCTTTTTTGCCCACACCTCTCTACTTCCATGCATGGTGCAAGTGATGTTAAATTGCCTTCTCTCTCTCTGTATTCCCTCATTATTTCTCGCTTCCTGTCAGCATTGCCGAACAGTAGAATATGCGATCCTAGACACCAGTCCGATTCGGAGATGGACCGAAATGCTGCTAAAGAATGTTCCTGTCCATCTGTCAGCATTACAGGGACAGAGCAGCTTTTAGCTTCCTATATTTGAGGCAATTGTTCTTATCTATGCTTCACTTGGGTTTGTGTCCACATTGGGTCACTACTTGTGTGTATGAGCCGAGTAAGTATTCCTCGCAAACAACAGGGGCATTTTATAGAGCTAATACTATAATGAGGGAAGGTAATGACACTAAACCAGGGCTTTTGCCACAGGCCTCTATGTCTGCAGGCAATGTTTGACACATTCAGAGGTTAGAAATCCAAGTCATTTTCCATTTTCTACAATTTACTGAACAGTAAAACCCTATATTTGACATTCATCGGGATGCAAGGGGTATGCTGGCAAACGGATTGTCGTGCTAAATGGCAACCAGTTGCATTTGGCATTCTTATCATATCTTTCATGTTGATTTATATTTTTTGTTTTCTGGTGCATTGCTAAAGCAATTATTTTTGTGCATTTTGCTTGTACAAATCATACAAGTGATCAGGTGTTTTGCACTTAAGATTTAGGTCTTTTGGATGATAAATCAAAGCAAAATAAGATGCATTAAAGAAAGTACTCAAGCCGTATCTAGGGAACAGAATATCATGGATGTAACTTGAGCCAGTAAGCAACATGGTGACAAGTTTTGCATGGGTTAACGCCACTAAATATTGACTTTTAGATGATAAACGTGGCATTTCCCCTGTTAGTGTTGTTGATTTGAAGAGGGGTCATTTTTGGTTGCCACTAGGGTCAAGATGAGGTCAACGAGACACTGGAGAGCTTTAACTAGTGATTTACAGTGTATAGTAAAACCCTTCAGGCTTATGGGTCATTGGTTAGCTGGTTGCGTATGGTGGAGACAAGGAAGTATAGGATATACTTAGGAATTGTAGCCTCAGGCGAAATGGCTATCAGTGCAAAAACCCTCACAGGAGCATAAATCCTGCACTGCTCTTGTTAAAAGTCTAGAGGAAGAGCTTTAGAGTACGTATATGTGAATGTATGTGATATAAAATCTGTGTGTGAGGAAAAGAGAGATCTTAGAGGATGTGTCTCAGTCTGATGAGCTCTCCTTTCCCCCTGGGCTTCATTAAAAGCTTTCCCTCAGAAATGGCCCTGTGTGGTGCTTTGCCCCTCCACCAGCTCCTGGCTGAGTGATAAAACACTTGTTTCCCCTCTCTCCCTCTTTCTTTCTCATGTTGTCTCTCAGGTCCTCAAAAGGCTTTGTTACAGGCTTTTCAAGTAGAAGCACCTATTTCTTTGCTCTTTTAACTGCTAATTCTTGTTTTTTAATGCTCTCGCTGGCTCCCCTCGGATGCCGAGCGGGGCTGTGGTGCTTCTGCCTGTGCTCAGGCCCTGAGTCACTGGGTCTGGATAATGGACAGACTTAGAGATGGAGCAATGCATCTAAAACACACTCTCAAACGAAAGCAGTTGCAGCTAGGTTAGTGCTAAAATGCAGTACATTTTCAAGGTTTTCCTGGTTAGCATGGTCCAGTTAGTTCCTGCTGGTAGATACTTTAGCTAGTTTAGCCATGTCTTCTGATAACTACTTTTTTTGTAGGCAAGTATTATTACAATACATATATTATTGCCTATATTGCATTGCATTAGCATGCATTTAAACTTTTCTTAAACTTGACTGCAAATGACTGAATAGTTCATACAGTGCTCCCTCTGGTTTTCGTTCTACATCTGTCAGTAGTTTTTCTTAAGGAGTTCATTTGTTGATTTGTCATGTTTAGTGTAATCTGGCAGCTGTAATAGAGCCTGTCTGGACAGTTAGACTGTTCAGACTCAATCTCAGTCGTCTATCTCTGTTGTAATCCTGTTAGGAATACTCACTGAACTGGCATGTGAAGTCACTGTTTGCATTCCCCACACCTGATGAACCCAGAGAAGGTTTTGCATTTTTTTACTCGCACTCGGGTTCACTACATTAGTGAGGACATCTCATAAAGGCAATGGGTTTTTGTATGTGATTTCACTTTTTGTTGGTGGGGCCCTAAGATTTATGTTAAACAGTGTACAATACTTGCCATTAAAGGAATAGTTCACCCAAAAATGCTGAAAATGTACTTTTGATGTTTTTATCAGCTGTTTGGACTCTCATTCTGACGGCACCCATTCACAGTAGAGGAGCCATTGGTGAGCAAGTAATTTAATGCTACATTTCTCCAAATCTGTTTTGATGAAGACACAAACTCATCTACAATTTGGATGGGCTGAGGGTGAGTACATTTTCATCAAATTTTCATTTTTGGGTGAACTATTCCTTTAAGTACATTTTTTAATGCGATATGTTTTCTTGTGCACCCCATTTGGGGAAGTTATTCTTATTATGAACGTTGTCACATATAGTTCAGATACAGAAGAAACAATATTAGCAGCTTTTCCCAAAAGCACCAGACAGGGAAGTAGAGGCTTGTGTTTGTGTCTGTCTAGCCAGCGCTCCTCTTGAGTCGGTCTCATCTCAGACATGGAGTCTCGGTCAAACCCAAGAGCCACAGGCCAGGGAGAGAGCAAACATTCAATGTCATCTCTGATTGGCCAAGGTTGAGCAGCGCCTCACCTTCCCATGAACCCCTCCGCTTTCACTGATTGGACGAGGTGAGCCGAGCCTCACTTGTGTCTGAACCCTGCCTCGTGCGAGACGCTAGTCGTATGATACGAGAGCTGCTTTGTGGGCCTCAGAGACGCTGTAGGGAGACGGACTCAGGGTGGGTGGACTTGTTCTTGAGGGCTCTCCAACCATGGCTCGCCGTGGAGAGCTCCTTCATCACCACGCTGTCATGATAGCACTACTCATAAGAGCACCAAAACCGCCTCTCCTCGACAAGGCAGTTCAGACTCCCTCCCTGTCATTAAGCAATATGAAGTCTGGAATGTGAATGCCGAGATGTTTGATTCCTGCCCTTTATGAACTTATCTGGGCTGGATGTCGGAGAGGAATCCAGTGTATTACAGCTTTAACTGCAGTTCCCCTGATTCCCACATGAGGTCACTGTGTAGACAGCATGAAACTCTGCCTTGACGGCTGACAACTTGAGAAGTCTGATAGTTTGCATTACTTTCAGTTTTTCTTTTGCTTGCACAATAAAACCCAATCTATTAGGCAAACATCTTCAACCATTACACAATTTCTTAAAATGACTAATTTCTTTAACAGATTTTTTTGAACTATTTCTTAAACATCACAGTAGTATGTCAAGATCATATCATTTTGAATTAATCATTAATTTATATTAAATATATAATAAAAACCTCTCTCTGTCTTGCACACATCCCTCTGTAAATTGCACACATCCCTTATCAGTTCTGTTACATTTCAAGTTGTTCTGAAAGAAGTCTTATCATACTTTTAATTTTTTCATATAATTTTCTCCCCCTTAAGTTTACTTATAATATTTTAGTAATTAAGTATTTAATGATGCTTAAGTTTTTGTTGCTGTATTCTATGCTGTATTGAATTCACCATTTACAAATGTGAATTATGTAACAGTACTGGTTAGCAGTAAGAGTACATTGTTAACAATAAATTTTGGCAACTTTCAAATAATTATAATAATAATAAAACTGAGTTTGGTACCAGAGTTTAGCCCTGTTGTAGCTTAAAGAAACATTCAAATAAATATAGATATAAAAGAAAAATAATCATTTTAAAATTATAAATCATTAATAATAATAAAAAATAAAAAAAACTGGTGCACTTTATTTTACAGTATGTGTACTTACCTAAAAAGTATTGGGAAACAGTGTGTGCATGTGGAACAGGACTGTAAAATAGTGCTACCAAAAAATCTTCTTAAACTTTGTGATCTTCTGAATGGACTTAGATTGTAATTTTTGGGGGACATTTTAAGTTCTGTTAGTGTGGCATTGTAGTACATCAAAACAAATTTGATTTGTAGGATGTATATGTGATATGGGAATACGGGATATATATTCTTTATAAAACAAGGCTGTTTTGTTGATTAAATTATATTTTAATAATTTACTGTAAAATATTATGATAAAAGATTCTGTAAAACGACATCTTAGAAAACTGTTAACCAAATATAAATCTGAACATGACATGCATTATATTTAATTGAATATATGTATTTAAATTCATATATATGTGAACTAGGGTACAAACTCTTGTTTAATAAAAAAAAGTAATAGTAAACTAACTGTGAAAAAAAATAACATTGCAAAAGTCATTTTTAAGTAAAACAATACAGCAAAAATGGAACATGGATGCATTTAAGGGTTCATCTGGAGCTAAAGCGTTCAGTTCAGTCCATCTCCCTGTCTCCTAACTTTATGCACACATTTCCTCATTTTTCCCCCTCACACCTAGTGTCTCTGATTTTTTTTTTTCTTATCCATTATCTCATTGTCATTCAAATGTCAGATATCTTTGCCTCTCTATTTTCACCTTGTCTGTGTCTCAGATCACCTCTGCGTGCCACCTGACATTGATCAACACCTGCGAATCTCCCGCTCTCAATTTCTCACTCATTCTCTCTCTTCATATAAATGACATTAATCTTTTGATGGCTCCTGATCTTGCTCATCTGTCTTTGATATTTCCTTGTGTGTTCTTTTCTTTCTGACCATTTCAAGTAAAAGTCTGCGTCTTGTGTTCTGCGTCTCTCTCGTCTGTGGTCTCATGAGAGAGTCCCATATGCTACTGTTTCAGACGCTCAGCATTATTGCCCATCGACTGCCCTGCACTTCTGCTTTATGTATAGAACTACTGTCATGCAATATTATGTAAGGCCTCGTTTAGGGTGAAAACTGCTAAATATGGTAAAGTTTTTTTTGTTTGTTTCCTGGTCCCAAAGCTTGATTTATAAATGTTTTTATTTTATTTTTATATTATTTTTATTTTTATATTCATATTTATCTTATTATTTTATTCCGCTTTAGGCTTAAATACAGCTAACCTCTGGTCCCAAAGTTTATGAATATATTATTTTTATTATTTATTTACTGTTATTCTTTGTTTTATGCATTTGTCATTTGTTTTTAGAATGTTTTTATATTTAATTATTTTATTGCTATAGTATATAGTGGGGCTAAAGGAATGTGTTTTTTTTTTATTTAAAAAATATGATTAATATTAATATATATTAAAAAATGTTATTAGTTCTTGTTTTTTATATTATTATTTTATTCTGGTGTATGGTGCCATTGAGCTATAATATATATATATATATATATATATATAGGTCCTAAAGTGGGGAAGAATATTAATTATATTTATTATTATTTCTTGATATATATGTTGTTGTTTTTTTAATTCTGGTGTAGGGTACAGTTTAGCTGAAGAAAATGTTTTCTGGTGTATAAATGTAATAAACTGTATATATACATTTATATTTTACAAGTAGTACTCAGTTGTCTATTTACTTTTTTTAAATTTGTATTAAAATTAATAGCAAAACTGCACCCTGAACAAAACTGAAAATCATCAGTATTTTGTCTTTAAATGCATGTGATGATTCTCAATCATTAAAAATCATTAAATGTTTGATCAGATTATCTCAAGCTCAACCGGATGTCTTTGCACATATAGACATTTTGCAGTGCATAGTGATAAAAGGTGTTTTCCACCTGGGTGTGTTTAGCCCATTGAGCTCCATTGTCTTTGTACATGCTTTTCACTTACCCTTATATGGGTAATGGTCTTGAACAATTATTTTAACTGCCAAATATAAATCAGTGTGCTGTTTTTACAAAGTCATACCTCGTGTTGTGATTGTGACAGTCACTCATGTGCTCGATTCAAACGCCCCCAGCCCCCTGTAATTGGCACCCTTTAAAATGAGTGCAAAAGAAACCACATCCTGTACAAACAAGAAATGGGTGCAAAAATCCCATGATAGATGGAATTTCCTGTATCTTTAACAATATATGTGCTGAGACCCAATAGAGGAAGTTTATTAAAGAATGTGGTGGTGGCTGCCGCTTCTTCATTTTTGTTTTTTTATAGTTTTCCTTTTTTGCCATGTCACTTTGTTGCCGTAGACACTAGTTTTACGAACAGAATACGAGTACTGAAAATGCATTACTCATAGACCTGCATCAGAAAACCCCTCTCAAAAGATCTCTGTTTTACATTTATACATTTGGCACTTTCATCCAAATCAACTCTCAATATTCAAACTAAACATTTTATTAGTTCAAGCATTCCCTGGAAATTAAACCTATGCCAATTGAGCTACAAGAACAAAAGAATATGCCTATTGCATAAATGTAAAAGTTTATGAACAGAGACATTTCGGAGTAATTACATCCACTGCTTTTAGTATACATTTTATTTATACTCAGAAAAGCCTTGTAACATTAAAAGTATAGTAAACATCTTCACAGTGTAATCAAGGACAAAATGCAGAGTTTCAGCTATACGAACTGATATATTAAAACCTTAATGTGTCCCACTTTAGATGTCGTCCTTAAGCAGGTTTGTTAGATTTGTTTCTTGTTCCACAATGATTATTGTTTCAGAAAGTGATTCTTTGATAAACTGGCAAATCTGGATAATACGCGTGTATTTACAGAAATATTGTTTAAATAAGACCATTAAATTACAGTATAGCTCTGGTCTCTCATAACATTTAATACCATATGCATAAACAACATCCCTGGTTACTGGACATAAACTTCTGTGTAATATTTCTTTATCATAAACGTGTTGCAGAAGTAGCCGGCTAGTTATTGGGTGTGGCAGATTAAGTGTAATGAAAGATGTAAATTACCTGTGATTGTCGGCTGCAGGTGTTTTTTCTGTGAAGTCAGCAGTTGGTTGATCTCTTGCTATTACAGTTGGCCAGCAAGATCAGCAAGACTCGATCCAATATAAATCTTTATCTATTTCCTCTTTTTTTTTCGTCCATGGAACCGGGTGCAAATGGGAAGTCTCTACACTGATGATTTGACATACATCTTGAACCTAGAAAGTGAGATGGTATTCATTTTTTTTATATAAACTGATGTTCCATAATTATAAAGATTTCAAGTTGTTTCTTGTTGTTGTGTTCAATGTACAGTAACATAAGTGTTCACTTATTGAACAAATCACAACTGATGGAGATTTGTATGCTTATTTTTGGTCTCATGAATAAAAAAAAAAGTTATTTTCTGGCATAAAAACAAAAATATTGAATTTGTCAGAGTTTGTCCAGTGATGTCCAATGGACACTGTATGGTGAATTGTGTCCTGACAAAAATATCATGAAAATATATAAATGTCTTGACCAGTGAGTTATTTATGGACATTGAGTATTTGATGTATATTGTTATTTTAGTGCCATGTATATTTTTCTGATTGTGTTTTATGTGCGTCTGTCTGAGAGAGAGAACACTAAACCACATAGTGTCCATATTAGTAATTATTTTGCCTACTGTGACGACTCAAATGTCATATGAGTCATCATTACTAACGTGACGTAGTGTTGTTGTTATCATATTAGAAATGTCTTTAGGGTTTGGTACAACTTTTGATGTTTTAGAAAAGTCTCTTATGCTCAACCAGGCTTGATTTATTTGACCCAAAATACAGTAAAAACAGAAATATTGTGAAATATTATAAAAATGTAAAAACTGTTTTCTGTTTTAATATATTTTAAAATGTAATTTATTCCTGTGATGCAAAGTTTTTAGTACCACATGATCCCTCAGAAATCATTCTAATATGCTGACTTTCTGCTCAATAACTTTTCTTATTATTAATAATGTTGAAAATAGTCATGCTGCTTAATATTTTTGTGAAAACTGATACTTTTTTCACAATTCTTTAATGAATAGTGTTCAAAAGAACAGAATTTATTTAAAAATAGAAATCCTTTGTAATATTATAAATGTCTTTACAGTCACTTTTGATCAGTTTAATGCATCCTTGCTGAATATAAGTATTAATTACTATTAAAAACTCTTACAGACTTTTTAATTTTTGAGTAGCAGTGTATTGGTTTTATATTAAATAATTTATTAGATATTATTCTCCGATTTAAAAAAAAAAATGCATCAAAAATTGTTAATGAATTTTATGCATATTTAAATTTTCCAGAAATTATTTTTCTTTTTGATGGACTAGATACTAATATATATATATATATATATATATATATATATAGAAAGTTTTTAACAAGGTGTTTGAAACCAGAGTACAAAACCAGTGAAAACACCTTTTTGTACTTTGACTCAAAACCTTATAGTTAGTGAGATACTTCCCTTGTGACAACTAGCCCCAACTATATATTTTATGTGCGTGTGTGTGTGTGGTAATTTTGTCAAGAAATGAAAGATGTGTTTGACTGGAGACAGGCATCGCTCGTTGGAGGATTATAAGCAGGGAAAAGATTGTTCAAAGCAGAAAAAAAAAACTTGTGAAGCGTTTTAAGTGTCCCTTTACACTGCGCCCTCACCTCTATCCCAGAACTCCCTTTGTCCAAAAGTTTCTGGCGAGAACGAACTTCCCCCCACATCTTCAAAACCTGATCACTTTGCTTTATTCTGATCAATGTGCTCCATGTTTCTTCTCTTGGTGTCAGTGTAGTCAGGAGATAAAAAAGCAAAGGAAGGAGGGGTGTGAGGGTAGACGGCTTACTTTTTTAGATGCCAATTGTACGTGTCTCTGTGGCTGCCTTACCTGTGTTCCTTTGATCATAGCGGAGCATGGAGTGGCGTTCGACTCCAGGGCTACTTTGACAGCTCGCAGGCTGGCAGAAGCCTCTCGGATGACTGGAGATCAGAGAAGACAGGCTGGAAAGCAGAAGTCCAGCTAAGAGAAGATCAGAAGAGGCAAAACTTCAACCAGAGCTATTGTGAAGGAACGTAATGGCTTAGATAACTTTTTCCCCTCCATCTTTTTTTTTCTTGTGAAAACTTACCCTTCAGAATTTTGAATTGCCCACTTTAAGGTCTGTGGGGCTTTGTCTGGCTTTGACAAAAGAGGCATGTTTTTCTTCCTGCCTTGTCCTGGAGAGCCTGATCTATTTAAACAGTGTCACTCCTGCTTCACGTTCTCTTGTTTGACGCACCGCTGGTTCAGCCTGGTGACTTGCTGTAGATGTACACACTAAGAAGAGAAAAAACAGCTTTAATAATTAAATGTAAAAACATGCCTTGTTCCTGTCCATAAATGTGTAAAACAGCTACATTATAGTCAATTGCTTCTGTAGACTTTATTAAAAATAACATGCGTCTTTGTTTGTTTTATGCTGTTTTGTGTGTGTGTGTGTGTGTACCTGTTTTTCTATTCTGGTGGGGACTTAAACCTGAATACACACAGACTCATGGGGACTCGTGTCACGGTGGGGACCTAAATTGAGGTCCCCACGGGTAAACAAGCTAATAAAACACACAGAATGAAGTTTTTTGAAAATCTAAAAATGCACAAAGTTTCCTGTAAGGGGGAAGTTTTTTGAAAATCTAAACAGACAGAAAGTTTCCTGTGAGGGGTAGGTTTAGGGGTAGGGTTGGTGTAGAGCAATAGAATATAAGGTCTGTACAGTAGAAAAACTATTACGCCTATGGAGAGTCCCCACAAGGATAGCAAACCAGACGTGCGTGTGTGTGTGTGTGTGTGTGTGTGTGTTAGGAATTTGCTAATTAAAATTTTTAAGTTGAATTAGTGTTTTTTATTAAATGTGGTCATTTAACTAATTTGTAAATCAATCCAGTGCTGTCTGGGACCCCGCAAAACATACAGACGGCTCCTGTGGTGTAATGTCTCCCTCTGGTGGAGGATGTGCTGAACATCTTGCACTGCATTTTATAGATTTTAAAGGGATAGTTCACCCAAAAATGAAAATTACCCCCTTTGTAACCCTTCTGTTATGTGCAAATATTACCACTGATGTATGGGTTCATATTGTTGACCCAAATATTTTAAGAAATAATAAATTACTCCGATTCATAATGTTTCGTTTTTTGTTAGTTTTGTTTTGTTTCTTGTTTACTCGGATAGTCCCTTGTCAATAATGTTAAATAAAGTATTCATTAAATAGAATATATAAACTATTGCTATTTTATCATTTATTTGCATATTTAATGTACTGTAAATAGACTTCACATGTCTGGAACTGGAACCTCCCTTTTTGTTTCTTTCAAGGATGTTAATCACCAAAGCTTTAAACTACTTTCTATGGTTGAAAGAGCAAACAATGTGCCATTCAGATACTTGTAGCCTGATGACAGTATCCCACCCAATATATATTTTGTGTCAGGATTTGTAACATAAAAATTGGTGCATGAGCAATAAATTATTCTGTTCATCTGTTATAGTTCTCAACATTCTATTGTAGACATTCTATTTCCACTTGTGCATTTATTTTATATTGTATTGATCAATGTAATTATAAAGCCAATTTTATAAATATTAAATTTAAGAATTTGCCATAAAAGGATAACTTTCACTATCTTTTCACATTGTTAGAAAAAAGAAAAAAAAAGCAAGATTCCACATCCTGTGGTGCATTTGTTTGCAAAGTAATTAGTCAATTGTTTTAAAGTTTTTCATTCATGAGAGAGCTTGATTTATGAACAGAATCATTTTCACATCAGTTAGCACAGGCCCTTCTTATGAAGGAAGGAATTGATTTTCCAGCTGATGAAGGAGGGCTTGTGGAGCTGTGGAAAAAGATTGCCATCACACTTTTAAAAGAAACTGGTAAGCATAACAGCCTCTTATACAGTTTCACTGGCTTGTGAACCACTTTTCAAGCATTTTACATAACCGTCACATACTCATGACCAACATACTCATATCCACACGGTCAAAAGATGACCTTTCAGACCTCTGCTGTTCTCGTGGAGAGAAGAATACATGCAAAAGCGAACCTGACCAATGGGTGAGAAAAGTGCACACTGAGAAAGCTGGATTATAGCCGTTCTCTTGTATCATGCCATTATGTAACTTTTGTGCTTTCCTCCTTGGACTGAATGTATGGACTGTGTGGGCAGACCTTCCACATCTGGAAAATACTGTTGCCCTGCATGCATGTAAAGAGTTTGCTTTTGTTTATTGATTGTTTTTGCATACTTTTGTCAATTTCAAGAAGCCTATAACCGTGGAAACTTTATTTTCATAATAAATTATTTTTCAACCAGTCCCAGTATGCAAAAACTTGCATTAAATAAACAAAAGAAAACTATTTACACCCAGAAAATGTGAAAATGGTGTTCGTCTCTAATTGAGCATGTTTCTAAATGTAAAGTGAGGGTTCTCTTCTATCAGATATTTGCATGTCAGTGCATTGTTGCCACTTATACAGTCTCCAGTCAACTGTTCATCACCCCAAAATACAATTTTTAATGCAACTTTAGAAACAATACACATTATTTAATATATTTGCAGATCATTTGGTTCAAAACAGTTGTGGCAGAAATCCACTGAGGTGTAAAATCTGATTACAATCGAGTCAGACATTCTGCAAATTTATTTGTAAAAAATTGTAACCTTCCTCACACGGCTGGTACCTGTTGCTTACAATGAAAAAGCATGGCGTACATCAGGGGTGGCCAACGTCGATCCTGGAGAGCCACAGTCCTGCAGAGTTTTGTTCCAACCTTGATAAAAACTCACCTTCCTGCTGCTTTTAGTAACCCTTAGACCTTGATTAGCTTGTTCAGGTGTGTTTGATCAGGGTTGGCTGTGGCTCTCCAGGACTGACGTAGGCCACTGACTGTCAAATTCATTTGCTATTTTATTGGCTTATTTAAAACAAAGTAAAAACAACTAAATATAAGAGCAGAAGATGCCCACATTGAGGGAGAACTTTAACACTGGCAATTTATATTCATTTAAATGCAGAACTCAAATCTAAATGTTGTGGTTAAATCTAAAAAAAAAAAATTAAAAAAAAAGAGTATAGAGTAGTATAACATACGTTTAAGTATAATTGTCATTTTCTATTGAAGTGAACGTCTCAAGATAACGTGGGCGTGGTTTGTGAACCTTGTTACCAACATGTTAGAATGACTTAACCTGCGTCGAATACATTAGCACAGGTATTGAGAAACAGCACAGTGTGGTTGTATCAACATTTTTTTAAGAACATTAAGAATGTACCAGCTTTGCAGTTCGCATCTGACTAATCTGCTGGAAAGTCTAAAATAGCTCACGTGCACATCCCCAGTTGATCAATAACACTAGGGATGGGCGATACCTCTTATTTTATTTTTGATCCGATACCGATATTTTCAAGCCCAGTATCGCCAATATCGATACCGATACCTCTAAACTAAACTGATCTTTTCAATTATTAAAAGAATATAATCAGTAATTATACTCACTTAATATTAGATTTTAAAGCCATGTTTTTTAACATTTCATAGGCCTTTTTTGTTTACACTGTCAGAAATAAAATATACTATAATTGTATTTTAGCCCTTTACTGGGACAGTAACCTCAAAGGTGCAACTATACCCCTAAAAGTGAACATTAGTACCATACAAGTATGCATGCTTTAAGGGTAGATAAGTTACAAAGGTGCACCTTTGAGGATACCTCATGAGAAATAAACATGGTGTTACATAAGTACTAAAATGTATTATTATTATTATTATTA